GACTGAACCAGGTCTTTAAAACAGGTCTAAAACGGGACTAAACCAGGACTATCCTTTTTTTTTTTTTCTTCTCATGATTAATTTAAACACAAAATTGAAAACTGAAAAAACACATTTTTATCTTTTTTTTTCATTTTGGTTTTGGAAACAAATAATGAAGAAAATAGTTTTTTGTTTGTTTGTTTGTATGTCATGGGAAATTCACTTTAGATCATGAAAAAATCATGGACAAGTTTTGAAACTGTGTCAGTGAATAAGAGTGGGAACCCTGGATACCTGAGCCAACAATATATGAATTAGAGCTAATGCCAGAAACCAATACATCTCTATTCAAATTGATTGAAATATTCATGGATGGACCTAAATGTGAAAGATTTAAATACATCCAATTTGAAAACTCAGAGGCAATTTACAAATTTGTGCATTACATAGGGTCTTTTAATGTAGTCATCATAAGTATTTGATATTTTGTGTGAGCAGTCTAATTCATGTTACAGCCTAGATTGTGTGTTTGACCAGAGTTAAGAGAGTAAAGCTTTTGTTATAGAGGCTCCTCAGGCTGTTGTCCAGCTCTGCAGCGCACTCACTCTGACCCCTGTCACTGGCCCTAAGGCTCCTGTCGTTTCTATCTGTCCATCTCACACTTACAGAGCAGACTGTGGGCAAACAGTTGCACCTCTGGCGGAAATAGAGAAAAACAAATCTGAAAACAGATCTGCAAGTAGACAGAGAGAGACAGAGAGACAGAGAGAGAGATGGACTAAAAGACAGAGACAGAGAGAGAGAGATGCACAGAGAGACAAAGAGAGAGAAAGAGAAGCAGTGAGACAGAGAGAGAAAGAGTAAGAGTAAAAGACAGGGGGAGTAAGGCAGAGAGAGAGAGAGAGAAAGAAACAGAGAGAGACAGACAGAGGGAGAAGCTGAAATGGACAGAGAGAGGGAGAGACACGCATGGACAGTGAGAGAGAGAGAGACAGAGCTGAACTGAGAGAGAAAGAGAGGCAGAGAGAGAAAGGCAGAGAGAGAAAGGCAGAGAGAGAGAGGAAGAGAGAGAGAGACAGAGAACTAGAGAGCTAGAGACAGACAAAGAGAAAAAGAGACAGACAGAGAGAGAAAGAGAGACAGAGACAGAGAGACAGAGAGAGAGAGAGACAGACAGAGAGAGACAGAACTAGAGAGCTAGAGACAGACAGAGAGAAGAAAGAGACAGACAGTGAGAGAGAGACAGACAGAGAGAGAGAGAGACAGAGAGAGACAGACAGAGAGAGAGAGACAGACAGAGAGAGAGAGAAGAGAGAGAGAGAGAGAGAGAGAGAGAGAGAGAGAGACAGAAACTAGAGAGCTAGAGACAGACAGAGAGAGAAAGAGAGACAGAGAGACAGAGAGAGAGACAGACAGAGAGAGAGAGAGACAGAGACAGAGAGAGAGAGAGACAGAGACAGACAGAGAGAGAGAGAGACAGACAGAGAGAGAGAGAGAGAGAGATGGAGAGAGACACAGAGGGAGAGACAGCACGAGAGAGAGGCAAGAGAGAGACAGACAGACAGACAGAGAGAAAGAGAGAGACAGAGTGAGACACAGAGACAGCGAGAGAGAGACGAAGAGAGAGAGCCAGAGAAGGGGGAGAGAGACAGAGAGAGAGACAGAGAGAGAGAGACAGAGACAGACAGAGAGAGAGACAGACAGAAACTGAGAGACAGACAGAGAAACAGAGAGAGAGACAGAGGTAAGAGAGACAGACAGAGACAGACAGAGATGTTAAAATCTGTGTACAACTCTGAGTGTTCTCCTCTGCGGGTAGGGCAGCTTGTGTGTCTGTGGGAGTCCTGTGTGAAGTCTGTGGAACTCCAGGATCTAAGTGATGAACAGAGGAAGCAGACAGAGGAGAGGAGGAGAACGGAGAGAACACAGAAGAGGAGGAGGAGGAGGAGAGAAAAAAAGGAACAGACGGAGACACAGAGACTGAACGATACACACAGGGACATGTGAGGGGATGAGTTATGATCAGGAGAAGCCTGGCGTCAAGTTCAAGCACAATTAACTCTCTGCTGGGGAACTCCGTACGATTTGTTACTTGTTTTTAACTATAACATCTCAATCCACAGTTTATTTTGACTTTGAAATTGTTTTGGTTAATCCTGCGTTCTTGTTTGAGCTGTGGCCTGTTGCGAGGGACGTGCTTTTAAAGAAGAGAGAAGTCATTGATGTTAGTTTATAATTGTGTTTCTCAACTTTCAGACTGAAGCTTTGAGTGAAGTTTTGCCATCACAGTAACGCTAACAACCTTTAAACTGCTGTCGCAAAATGAAGGTACAAGAATAATTTGTAAACTTGGCGCTGTTTTGTTAAAATAAGGTATTTCTTTGCTTTGTTTTGTGTTTGTCTTTGTGCTTCATACCGTGGATAATGGTCGTGAGCAGTAAATAAAAAGGAATATGAAATGAAACTAGCATGCCAATGGTGCACCACACTTACAGTTTGCAGCCGATAAAAACATTTCATAATTAGATGTTGGCAGCACATAGCAGTCTATTTTGACCTTAGAACATGCTTTTACTACATTTCTGTACTGGGTTAAGACAAATTTGACTTTACAACGTGGACAGAGAGAGACATCTAGAGAGACAGATTAAAAACTAAACAAAAATAGGAACAGTTTCTTTAAACATGTATCCAGATTTTGAGGAGACTTATAAAAAGCAATGAAAACTCTTTGTGTTATTAAAGTAACAAATTACTGTAACGCATTGCTTTTTGCTGCAACACAGTAATACGCGTCACAGTGCATTTTTAATCTGGATTGAAGTGGTAGTTTTTTTAGTTTTTCTTCACAAAGTCACTAAAATCACTGCGATATAAGCAGTGGTGAAAAGCCATTGTTGCGGTTCCGAATGTCAGGATGGGCCTGGAGGTGCACCTGTGTAGACTGTCGGGTGACCACGGGAGAAAGGACCGGCGCAGAACTCCGCACCATACGGCACGATCGCGCTTTGCGGAGATTCTCTCAGGGGTGGTCCTAGTTTCCAAGATTAGTCCTGGTTTGGACCTGGTTTAGTCCTAGTTTAGTCCTGGTTCAGTCCTGGTTCAGACCTGGTTCAGTCCTGGTTCAGTTCTGATTCAGTTCTGGTTTAAATCTGCTTTAGTCCTAATTTAGTCCTAGTTCAGTCCTAGTTCAGTCCTCCTGGTTCAGTCCTTCTGGTTCAGGCCTGGTTTGGACCTGGTTCAGTTCTGGTTCAGTTATGGTTTAATCCTGTTTCAGTCCTGGTTTAGTTCTGGTTCAGTCCTGGTTTAAACCTGAGAGTAATTTAAAAATAATGCAATAGCCATGTATAGTCTTAGATTTTAAATACAGTAATATTGTAATTTAACAAATTACCTGAAAAAAAAAGACAAAAAAACAAAACAAAAAAACTTGAAATGACAGTAACAACTAATAAATAACACATTACAGTTTTGAAGTAACTTGCCCAGGAGTGTTGATTTTAGACTTACCAACCATCAACATACTGGCCACCTTGTCGGTTTTAAAAATGTGACTCTCGTATTTTTTTAGATGTGTGGTTTAGAGGGCACAGCTGTTTGCCAAAATGTATTCACTTGTAGAAAGGAGTAATAAACGCTTTGTGCTTTTGTCTCGGCGTCTGTGCGTGGCCCCCTAGGCAGTGATGGATGGAGGCCCAGGTGGAGGAGCAGCTCTTTAGCTTTAGGAGCACTCCAGACTAATGCACCAGCCACAAGTCACACATTTGTATTTACAGCTGTCACGATTACACAGGCCTGCATTCTAATCCATCATCACATCTGCGACACAATTTACAGTCACTACACTCTGAGTGAATAAGATTGAAGTGGGACTAAACACCTAAACTCCGCGCATGAACACATTTCAAAACGAGCTGCTCAGCTGGGCGCTACCTGGAGGAGTGAAGAACAGAGAGAGAGAGGAAGAGGGGAGGAGTTTGGGGGTATGAAGAACTATGTGATTGGTGTAACAGGTATCCACACTTCACCTGGCTGTAAACATGGCAGTCCTGTGTGATGTCACCAACTACTTGAATCACAGAGGCCACTAAAACTTGGAATTATTCTGCGTTCAGACTGCAGGGCTTAATGCTCAATTGGGATTTTTTTTGCGAGGTCATTCACATTTCCAGTAAAATGTGACTTGTATGTGATCTCCAGTGTGAACTTTAAACGCCCCAAAAGTGTCCTGCATACACATTGGAGGACGCAACGTCACACACAGCGAAGGTGCTCAGTGTTTATGGAAGAAGTCTAAATGCTGAGCTTGTCTCCCAGAATAAGGTCCAGTTCTTCATAAAATGGACAGGTTACACGTCCACGGCCACTTCATTTGTCTAAGTCTTTAGTCTCCTTGAATTTGGCTCACAGGCTCTTTATTTTTCGTTGACATTGGAGCCAGGACCACCTGTAGCTGAGCTCGGCCATTTCTTTGTCAATCATTTCAAAAACCGCCCAGTTCTGATAAAACCCCTCCAATCTGGCCTGAATACAGCGATCCAACAAATATGAATAAACTCACTAACTTCACTTTCCCTCCATTGACTAGACTCTGAGCCCGACATGCAGGTGGGCTGAAGGTGACCTGACCGTTCAGACTGAAGTCACATGTCAAAAGATCGGATATGTATCGGTTTTAGGAGCACATATCCAAATGGCCTGGGTCACATTTGAAAAAATTGGATCTATGTTATTTAGACTGTCATTAAAACATCAGATACAGGTCACGTAGGGGCAAAAACATTGGATTTGGGTCACTTCAGGCTGCAGTCTTAACGTAGCCTCAAGTGTTTTTAACCTGATAGCTGCAAATGTACCTAATTTATACTAAAGCTGCCCAAAAAAAGTCTTGTAACAATAGATACATTATAACATATACACAGTTTAGTAGTGAATAAAAGTGGATTTACAAGTCACTCAAATGATGCATGGTTTTTTTGCAGTAAGTCAACTATAAGTTTGTTGTTCTTCTCTTGCAGCTCCTCCCACTCCTATTGCCCCTCCCGAGCTGCTGGCTGTTGGCGCCACCTACCTGTGGATCAAACCCAACGCCAACAGCATCATCGGGGACGGGCCCATTATTCTGAAGGAGGTGGAGTACCGCACCACGACGGGAAACTGGGCGGAGACTCACGTGGTGGACGCTCCCACGTACAAACTGTGGCACTTGGACCCGGATGTGGAGTATGAGATCAAAGTGCTGCTGTCCCGACCAGGAGAGGGTGGCACCGGACCCCCGGGACCGCCTCTGGTGACCAGGACCAAGTGTGCAGGTATGTGCCATGCATCTGTGCTGGAAACTATGCATTGTTTTCTTTTGGGCCCATAAAATGTCAGTGTCTGTGGTAGACGGCATATTATGCATTTTCAGACTGCTTCATTATTGATTCATATTTAGTATTTTGCATATAGTGTAGGCTATAATATACAGACATATAGTGTGTGCTTTTAAAAATATATTTTAGTTAACACAGGAGTAAAGGTTGTGTTGTAAAAAATATATATCTTAATTAAATCTATTTTGTATCATTTATTATATTGTTATGGCTACAGATAGCCAGGCTGGTGCCACCTAGTGCCTCCACTCAATTTCATTCCTCTCCAGCAACTAGGTCAGGAATCAAAATACAATAGATGGTTCGCAAAAACCTCGGAAGTGCAAGTTCAGCCAATCAGCGAAGAGCCATACATTCAGTGTTGTCAACGATTCCCGAAATCGAAGATTTAAAGCCGGAACAAAGAGAATGTTTGGTGAATTTTATCAAGGGGAAAGACGTTATTGTCCTTCTTCCTACGGGATTTGGGAATAGCTTAATATACCAGTTAGCCCCGTTAGCGGCGCATTACATACATGACTACCAAATAGCAGCGATTGGTTAAATGATTAAAAAGTACCTGCCTACTGTCGAGCGAACGAATGCTAATGCTGCAAGGTCAGACGGTTTGTACGAAGTGAAACCGGCTAATGAATCAGGCTAAGAGATAGACCCTTATAGTCAATCTTTGCACTCTTTATCTTATTCGGCTATTGAGTCTTAAATCTCCAATGGAGGCTGATGTTTAAATTTAGGCCATCCAGTTACTTAAAAATTCAGAATAAAGTTTATTTAGAGCATTTTTGTTTAAAGATGGTGCTGTATAAAATGTGTTTCTCTGCTCTATTATCCAGTTTGTAGTAACAAGGTTGTGGATCGGTTAAAAAAAATCTGTTCAAAATCAGGCCAAAATATAGGTCGAGCTTATCAGCCATCAGTTTTCTCTGGATTCTAAACCATCTGTATCAACATCAGCCATGAAAATATACCAGACATACCCATATGAGTCGATCTCTAGTTATCGCTAATATTGTAATTCATATTATGATAACAGTTTTAGGCCATATTGCTCTGCTCTACTTTGAAAACTAAGTAATGCAGCAATATCCTAGTATACTGTGCAATTAGGACATGGCATCTGGCAACAGTGGGGAATATGGAGCAGTTGTAGTGATGCTAAAAACTTTGCATGATGTGGAGCCATTTTGAGCGCTGAAATCAGATGTATGGACTTAGTGGAGCAGGGGACCACGAGCTGTAGACCGGCGGCATTGACCCATTAGCAGCTCAGCCATGACTCAAAATAGGACTCGGCCCATTTCTCCTTAAAATGTCAGAGCGGTCACTCCAGGGCCTCTGCGTTTAGCTTCTGTAGCACATTTGTGAGAGCCACAGGAGGCCATAGACGAGGAGCTCCAAACAAGTCTCACTTCTGCCTGAGGTGCGGCCAGGACACAACCCTGAGAACTATTGATTTATCATCAAATGCTTCACAGCTCTTCACCCGCTAACTTTCTTCCTAATTTCGTCTGCTCCATCTCTCCATATGGTCCCCGCGTCTGGCTTATTTCATTTTATATTTTGAGCAGTACTTTCACAGATGATTCTTGGTTATGTGGGTGAGCGTTAAGCCCTTGCTATTTCGTTCAATTGTGACATCTTTGGCTTTAAAACCACTTCTTTAAAAAGGACGTCAGGGGGTTCCTTTTTCATACCAATCTTTCTCTTTTTTTCTCTCAACCCTTGAACATAAACTTAGATCTTGGCTGTGCTCCACGTGTCTATAAATATCCTCTTAACATTTTAAGCCTTACATTTTTTTCAAAGTGCAGAAACATGTTTAACTCATCCACTTTCCTCGCAGCCCGTTACTCTTCCTTATAAATTTAACAGTTTTATGTGATGACTGATAATGTAAGTGTTGGCTAATACTTAAGCTCATAAAGATAGACTTGAAATTCAGCGAGTGTCCATAAATCTGAGCTGTATCTTTTTCCCTTGTGTCTTTATAGTAGCGGATATTAATGTGTGAAGGACTGAATTCTCCTGAGGTTATGGACTTTGTGGAAGCAGCTTCTTAATTCAAAGCGCTTCTTCTGAGCTGATGTTTACGTGACAGATGGTAATGTGAGTGTAGCTAATACTTTGGCCTGTAAAGATGGATTTTTAATTCACCTGTCGGGTTGAGAGTGAATGGGCTGAGTCTGCTGCTGTTTTTCTGCTGAGATAAGCAGTTTGAACGTCGTGAAGAGACCAGCCTTTCAGCATCAAACTGTGGAAAAAAAGATCAAAGATGGATCCCTGGTGTCTTTTGTAAGGGGACTGTAAAAACCTGTGGCAGTTTATGTCGAATATCCAAGAAAATAATGAGCGTCAGACCACTACTAAAAATGTATAGCAGTGTTTCCTCCAGCCCCATGAGACTTGTGTCGGAGAGTGGGGGCTTTGTTACGCGTATGCATATTTTATACGTTTAACTGCATTAAAATAATAACCTTACTCAATTATTATTCCAGCCCCAATTAATGCCATATTGCATTTATTAAATCGGCCTGTCACAATAACACATTTTGTATATTGCTGAAGAAAATACAGACATTAAACGATAATATTGAAATTAATTTATGCCACTGACACAATCACCCTAAACCAATATTATCCCCCAAAAACAAAACAAAATTCTGTATAATATGGTTTAAAACGCAAACTGCAGTAAATAAACAGCAGAATGACACGTTTAAGTAATTAGTTCTATATCTGTATCAACATCTATAATGAGATGTAGATATGTAGTTATTTATTCAACACTCTACAGCTCAAATCTTATCGTAGTGCTGAAAAATAATTAAAAGTTCTCCACTAATACTAGGAAAAAGTACTCATGGTAAATACTGGCCCCCAAAAATAGTTGTACCATCGAACATGTATTGAATGATAAGTTGTTATGGTAATTAACCTGACAGGGACTTTGAGAAATTTTGAAGCACACTAGGGTAATACAGTATTACGGGGGTCCCGCAGAATCAAAAAGTAGCAATGGGATCAGTTTCATTACTGTCATTAAAAAATCTGCAGCGCCTAAGGACATAAGGACTAACATAATATTATAATTTACTGACACCTAAATTTGTTTGCTCAGCACACATGAATCTGTGGTTGTATTTTCAATTTAATGCTATTACAATTTAAAACTAATCATAGTCTATAAGGTTTTTTTTAACTGCGTTGGGAGTAGGGATGGGCATGATTAGTCGATTTTTTTTTTTTTTTTTTTTTAGTAAAGTGATGCAAATGTCCGGATTTTCATTATCTTTAATTGGGCCATTAAATTGAGTGGCTTTCGTAGCTCTCTGTGACTCAGAAGGAACGAGCAGACACAAATAGTCGATCAGCCTGCAACATGCCGAAGTGCAAATGCGCATTTAACGATGACTTGTACAAGAAATTCCCCGTTTGCCATCCAGGTTGAGACAAGTAGACCATATGTACAGTGTAAAAAGCAGCACATATGTTTCGGTGTCCAGTGGGGGTGCCAGGGGTAGCTCAATGTCGATAACGAGGCCCCACCTCCCACCCCTCGTACGGTGTCCTGGTTTTTAACAAACGCAAATACAGTCACCCTAACCTATATTCCACAGAGTTGTGTCCTTTAGTCCGACAGCGCACAAGAGCTGTTTTTTTTTTCTTCACTTAGTTTATGCAAATTAGCCATGCAGTTTTAAATTTCGTTTCAATGAGTCTTGCGCAAATCTGAATTAAACACATTATAATGTCAAACGGGCTGATGTGGCTCTACAGTGGTTATGGTTTATATGTCGTAAATTTGAGTTTATTTATGCAGATTAGTATTGCAGATAGTAATAATAATGATGATAATTTGATTATAAAAATGTTAATGATTATTCGAAAATCTATCGTTAATTCTCCCAAAGATCGATTAAGAAAATTTAATTGAATGCCCATCCCTAGTTGGGAGATGACGTTCGATTAGTTTTGTTCCGTTGTCGCGCTCATAAGGGAGGGGAGACCAAGACAAGATGGCAACTCAGGCCACAAATGAAAAAAAAAAAAAATACTATTACTTCTAAAATTTGGCAGCATTTTGGCTTCAGGTGCACATTTGTTTACGTTTTACAGAAATTTTACTTAAAACCAGATGGCTCATTTGCATAAACTATAAAGCACTGATAAAAACAGCTCTTTCTTTGTGCGTTGATGCAGTTCAGCCTCTGTCGGACTAAAGGACACGACTCAGTGCAATATGAGTGTTCTTTCTGTGACAGAGGGATGTTCTGCAGATGGTGAGTCTGTTCTGTGCGTGTATTGCCTTGTTAATGGTTCATGTGAAACTTTTCAGATATTATAAGTTTGCAGGTCATAGCATAGACCGTATAGTGATGCGGCTTCGTAGCTTACCAAAGTTGGACTGAAACATTTTGGTAATACTGTATACCCTGGTAAAATCCTGCGAAGGTTTAACAGTATAAAATTTTGGATAACGCCCGACACTAAAGCACACCAGCCTTACTTCCTGGTTCGCGGATGACAAAAACCCCCACAGAAATGCAAAAAAACTTCAAAAAAGTAGGGTCAGTCAATAAATGCAGCAAACAGTTATTACAAACTGTTTATTTAAGGGTGTTGTACGTGTGGAGTTTTAGTGCTGAGAAACTACTAATTTGGCCTAATGTTAACGTGAGTGTAAACAGATTTTATTCTGAAGTAAACTAGAGCCACTTCTCTTTCTTATGGTTTTATAACGTCTACTTTGTCTCATTCTCACAGTTGTTTTTGAATTCTCTATGGTAACTGTTGTAAGCCAAAGCATGTTGTTCTGGACTTGCACATGTAAAACCTGTAGCTAAATGCAGGACTGTAACCAAAGCTGATTTCCATCCTTATATTTGGGATGTACTTCTGACTGGCCTTCAACATGTAGGACAGATGAAGCTTTGAAA